TCTTTCCCTGCATGGGGGTGCCCGACTGCGCCACTCTCCATGGCTCCATTCCCAGGATGGATGCTGGCCAGGCCATCCCCTCCCCTCTCTCCCCATTGAGGATATGGGAACTTGAGGTGGGGGGTGGGAATTGAGCTTCCTTTTGTCCCCCCCCCCATCTGTTATGCACATTATGGCCTGGTGTTTTTGGCCACTGTGTCACAGAGTGTTGGACTGGATGGGCCATTGGCCTGATCAAACATTGGCTTCTCTTATGTTCTTATGCCTCAGTTTCTTTACTGGGCAGAATGGGTGATCAGATCTCATGCTAGAGATGCCAGGGTATTCAGCCAGAATAACCAGAGGCCTTGTGGTATCTTTAAGGGCTAACCCCTTTTGTAAAGACAATTAGATTGGAGTCCAACAAGGTTGGTAAAGACAATTAGATTAGAGACCCAACAAGGTTTTCAGGTATAACATTTCGAGACTCAAAGCTCCCTTCCTCAAGTACGTTTGTAAGGGTGGAAGCTTTCGTGAGCCCACTGTGTCAGATTCTTGATGAAGCCATCACTAGTTTCATGCAGACAGATCCAGGTGGGGTAGCCGTGTTGGTCTGAAGCCGCAGAACAAAGCTTGAGTCCAGTGGCACCGTTAAGAACAACAAAGTTTTATTCTGGGTAGAAGCTTTTGTGTGCATGCAAACTTCTTCAGATATGGTTTCATCTGTTCAGCAGTGTCTGTCCCATGAAAACCTCTCTCCTACTAAATGTTTTTATCTTCAGAGTACTGTGAAATCATTTGTTACTTTAATTCTAGCTTAGTAATACAGCAGCCCTCTGGAATTTGCCTGTTCGGGAGGGTCTTCAGCCGTGTCCTGAGATAAATGAAATAGGGAGTGTTTCCGTGGATCCCTACTTGTGCAAGAACAAAAGAGTCCTGTGGTTCCTCCGGTATTAATTTTAACATAGCAGAAGCTTTTGTGGGCTGGGAGTCATGTCATCAGCTGCAGTGAATAAATGTTATAAGAGTTTTATACAGAGGGAGAGGGAGGTGTGCTTGTATGTGGGGAGTTTTGATAATTTGAATTGTAGGCCTTCAAACAATGGCACCACCTGAACAGCCACCAAAAGTTATTTGAGGACAAGATCTGAGAATAGTTATTATCGTACTGCTTGCCTGTCAACAATTTAGGGAGCGGATGAAGAAGTGGAAGCTGAAAACAATGCTGTGTTCTTGGGTTACTGTTTTATTTTATTTTTCCCCCCAATGTGCTGTGTTATCACTGCAGTTCTGGGGGAAAAAAAGATATTGCAGAAACAATAATGACCCAATTAAAAAATAGTATTGCGAGGTCATTTGCTATTTTGAGCTTGACTGCCGTGGGCTAAGACTCATCTGAGTTTAAGTCTGAGAAGCAGTCAGTGAAAGCCAAGTATGGAGCAGCTGCTGTAGCGTAGGTTGCAGGTGAGTCATTTTCTGGCCCTGCTTGTGGGTAGGTTAACATCTTACGGGGATGCACACAATCATCTTACTGGTATCTTAAGAAACTGATGATCCCGCAGCATTGGAGTCAGTACCTTTTTTAAATTTGAGATTTCTGGCTTATTCCGTTGGTCTTCCTGTAAGTGACTGTTAGGAGTCTGGCTAAGTCCTTCTCTGGCTGCCAAGGCACCGTCTGTATTGTCTTAACATGAATCAATGGGGAAGGGTTATAATAAAATAGCACAGTCAAGAGAATGCCGTCTTTGGCAGGCGTGATGTAGGATTTAGAGCAGCTGCTTTCCCCCAGGATCCGAAACAGGAGCTGGATTTGAATGTAGGGGAAAAGGAAAAGAATGTAAGTAGAGTGCAAAAAGCAGCCCTTCTTCCTTGACATGCTACCCCAAAAGATGCTTGTTGCTTTACTATTCTTTCTCTGACAGTGGGTTTTTTTGGTCATTTTCCACGTTTCCCAGCAAATTCCGTGTCTGGCTATCTACTCGACTCAGTCTGTATTTGAGCAAGAGTTTAAATTATGTCTGATGCCTTTAACTTTGTGTGCTGTATATATACCACTGACGCTAAATCCGCACACACCATTGGGAGTTGCCTTCTGTTTGTTCCTCTGCTCTGTGTTATATGGAAGTGTTGTGTTAATCACTGTAAACACACTTTTGGTGTATAGTCTGGAGCTGAGAAGGTGTCTTGTGTTTCCATTCCCTCTGATGCTGTTAGGTGTTATGAGATTTTCTTTATTTGGCTGTTTTCACCAATATATACATGTGTGTGTGTGTATGGAAACTGCTGTTCAAAATTACTGTTGCTACAGGTTGGGTAAGGACCAGGAATTTAAGTTAATCTCCCACTGCTCTTTCTGCTTGATTGATAAGTAGTAATGTTCCCAGTGTTTTAACTTCTA